GCCTGCAGCGGCAAAAGCTGGCCTAGGTCGGACAAAATCGTTGTCCTACATCGAGTAGATTTCTGGCCGCCGTTTTCATGCTGCGCTGTTGGTGCTCAGCCTGAACCACCCTCCGCTGTTCGACGCATTTTCCTCATTGTACAAAATCATGCTTGATGTATACAAGGGAGTGGTAGTCCGTGACGCCCCAAAACGTATTACTGGGGTTTAGATTATGTTATAATACTATGAGTATGTTGTCACATTATTTTTTCTATTTACCTTTCACAAGTGTTTTCACTTCAAGATATTGGATGATGTCCAAATCTTATCAAATCATATAATTGTATACTCCACAGTACGCTACAGGAGAGTAAAATACTCTATTAAAAGAACTATTTGCTAAAAAAAAGAACATTGTAGGCCTTTAATTGTATTATGAAGGCTACGTACAAAACTAGGATTATTGTAAAATACACCGGCTCATTTTTTTTTTAAAGTCAAGAATTAAAAAAAGAGGCTTTCACGCACACAAAAACATGATTCTGTATAATAATAAATTAGTGTAAATAAGAATGAAAATAAATAATTACTATATTTTAAAAAGTTTAATAGTGAACACGGTAGGGATTACTTATTATTGGTTATTAAAAAGATAAATTGATAATTATAAAAAAAATGATGATGATGATGATGATGATAATAATAATAATAATAATAATAATAATAATAATTATAATAATAATTATAATAATTACAAATAATTAATAATCTACCCAACGTCGTTTGGAAGTTCAACTTTCAATTTTTAACCTACAGGCTGTCTCTGAAATTTGGGTTGATTATCCTGCAGTCTCTTGTTCTAATGTGGGTTTTTTTTTCACCTGAGACAATATTATGTTGTATAATATGTGAGATCTCTAAGGACTAAAATGATAGTAATATGTGAATATTGATGGCTGAATTGTTCTGAACATTGGCTGCTGGTGGAGTGCCTCCTGTGCCTTTTACATGTTGTAGGCTACATGTTGTGCTTCCTTTCTCAACAACCAATGAACAAACTTAATCTAGGTTAGAAAATAGATCTATCTTTGGAGGTGGCCTTTGCTATTAGCAAAGATAGTACATAACAAGATGGGCCACTTCTCTCTTTGAGCCAATTAAAAAAGT